TCTATAAACTCAAAATTAACAGAGATGATAGCTAAGACAGGTATCTATAAGAGATAGAATCTATAGAAATGTAACTCAAATTGTTCGCGCCATATGATTGTACATTTTTCTAACGGCCATAGCCGCGCGTGTATTAGCCTATAATTATGAGCAATACCGCGCGTGCATATTTGCTAATTAATCAGACTAATCGTGCTTCTATAAACTCAAAAGTCACAGAGGTTATGGCTAAGACAGGTATCTATAATAGATAGAATCTATAGAAATGTAACTCAAATCGTTCGTGCCATATGATAGTTAGTACACTTTCCTACCTGTAATAGCGTATGCGGCGGGGTATGCAAAATAAAAGAGGAAACGTCACGAATTCTATTTTTATCCTCCAATCACAGGTTGGAGCAATTCCTCTGTTTAGACCATAGAAATAATATAAATAACTATTTATATTATTTCTATGGTTTAGACGCATGTATAGCAAGCACGTATTGTCGTGATAAATATATAAAATCGCCGAGGTTTTTTGGATTTTGAACTAGTTGAAAAACAATCTTATCAGGTATGAATTTGAGGATAAATTTAGTCCCGTTAGTGCTTACTTTTCATGTTAAAAAATTGCAACAAACATTTTACAAATATATCCTACACCATAGAAAATTCTTGACGTTGTCAAGCCAGTTCGTAGTTACGCACTGGAGCCCTATGACGTCATCGGGCCATAGGTCATTTGTACATAGCTGAAAAGTTGGATCGCGCGTTCGCTCGTACGCACTTGCCGTATACTACATAATATGCATGAATGTTTAATATACAGAAGCTCTGTAAAATCGTGCGTGCGTTTGATTTCTGTACTGAACCGATCGACTATCTGCCTGTGCTTTTTGTTTTTTAGATTTTTACGTGTGTGTATGATATTCATTGTGGGGTATTTTAGGTATATATGCAGTGTCGGTTCTTCTCGGTCAGTCAGTTAACTGAAGTCAGTTCAGTCAGTCTCGGTCATATCATTTATTTATGGATGTTTTTTTGCTCCCTGGATTTCTTAATTCTAATACAACAGAAATGCACACTCAAACATACATGTAATTAACTTGCAAAGCATATATATTGATTCATGTTTAATGCACATCTAACTACATGTATATGAGCAATGATGAATGTTAACCTCTAAATACATTGCACAAGCAATTAAAACAATGGAAATGGGGAATTTGTGTACGTGTATACGTGTATGAAACCTGCAAATGTGATAATTTATAATGTAAAGTAAAAATAAGTTTTAAGAAATACCAATGAAATAAATGCGTTTCCATTTAGAGACAGCAGGGAATAAACATGTATCATAATTTCTCATATTTCTTATTATTAATATCTATAAACCCTTCAATTTAAGTACCATTTGATATTAATAATAAAAAATATACGCGTGACTCCTGTTTCATGTGTAGCAGATTCGCTTTTAGGGTCGTGCGTTTCTGTAGGGGGTATTACAGTGTTATCTCACGAGAGATGGCGCTAGTGGGGGTGTCCCGCAATGAACAATTTGTGTGTACCCTCCGCGAGAAGAGTCCCGGCATGGTAAAAATAATAGACAGAAACGGCGCGAAAAGAGAGACACGCGGGAGAATATAGATATATATAATAAAGAAAATTGCAGAACGTTTTTTCTGCTTGCAGGAACGAGACATTGGCATCTACATGTGCAGTGCCGATAATCGATTTGAAATTTTTTTTCTCAAACCCCATGGAAATCGTTTTAACAGATAAGTGATAGCAACATCGCAGCTGGCCTCAGTGACATCCTATGATACGGTAGTCCCCGCTTCATCTGGAAAGATCGGGAACCATGCAAATGTCCCGATTAAGCGGTCGTCCCTATTAAGCGGCGAACGTGCGTAAGCGATTGTTTTTCAAATATATGTGTCGTTTTAAGACATGCCCGCTTTCCGAGGCCCGATGATTCGGGAACCACTGTACAACTCCATAATAATAAAACGTTTCACAGTAAATTCGCTCGATGCTGTTTCTAAACCTTAATTTATTTTCTCCAAACGAAGATAAATTGACATGTCAATTTAATATGCATGATAACCGCCAGGCGGGAGATTGGTGGTGAAAGGGAATAGTGTTACCTGCATGAAATATTTATCTGTTTGTTTGTTGAGAAATTGCGGAGCTTTTAAAGAGACATAAGTGAAAAAATATGTTTTTAAAGTTTGTTTGAACGATAAAAAGGATCGTTCGAACGAATTAAAATTCGTTCGAACGAAAAAGGTGCATGTCATGATTGAATCTAAATAAGTGCGAATATATATTACAGATACCAGGGCCGTAACTAATTAAATTTGAATGGGGGCAAAGCCGCACGCGGTTTGCGTGGCATAGATGATAGATCCGTGCATGGTTATTTATGTTATTTCTATGCTTAGACGCATGTCTTGCTATGGGCTCTATTTATGTATGTATTTATGTTTTTATTTATCTATATATTATCATATTTATTTATTTATCAGGCGGATATGAGCCAGGAAGTCGATCGTCAGCTGGTACGCTTAAAAGACGTGGGAAGGGGTTTTTATAGATATACAATCACAAGCTGAATATATTTTATTTTGAAGTGACTTTTTTCTGTTATAGTGTATAAAGTCTAAAATCTAGTGTTGTAATTACAAATTTCTGTAAACAAAAAAACTCGTGAAACACAAGCGTTGATAACAAAAGGAGTCATATATTATATATCCATTAATGCAGACACTAATCGTTCATCACATACGTCATCAACCGTAGGTGCGATTACCTACTACACAAACATACAAGGACTATATCCCGCCTGTGCGAGATATATTCTACACGCTTCGCAAGTGGCGTCCCACGTGTCACTGCGTCTATCAATATGCGCAATTAAATTCGCGACGTACGGTACGAAATGCATCGCGGTCACACGTCAATTACGAACTGCTGGGTGGGCGGACTCGCTGCCTCGCCTCTCCGCTCGTGTTTGCGTTTAGTCTCCACGCCTTCTACCCACGCGTTCATCCGCAGTGGCACGCGTCTCCACTGATGCCTTCTACCCTCATTCGTGTTCGTTTTCTTAGCCCCTCCACGCATTCTGGCACGGTCCGATGCGCTCCCACCGCAGTGCTCTCTCTCTCTCTCTCTCTCTGACGTATCACGATGTCGCAACCCTCTATCACCAGCACACGGTGTCACTTCACTACTTGGTTAAAAGTGCGTCCGCGTTTTGACTTTGCTTTCCATCCGACTGTTGTGCGCAGTGCCAACGTACGATACGCGAACACAGAAGATGTTATCAAGAGCGGATAATACCGGTATTATCCGCTCTTGATGTTATAAACATGGGGTGTACGAGCTTAATCATACTCGCGATAAGTTCCTAGCGTAGTTAATATAATATATAAATCCTATCCTATGTTATACCGTTACCGAACAGAATTTCATCAAGTCTTAGAGAGGAACGCATATCTCTAGTAGGCAATACGGTGGCATATATGAGCGTTCATATAATATCTGATCTGCAACCGGGATAGGCCTACCGATCACTGCTTAATCTAGTAAAGCTTTCCTACTAACATAACAAGAAGGCCTGCGACCATTACAGCACATGCTACATGCGACGTCAATATAAGACACGCATCATTAACTAACGCTACACTAAAACATATAGGAAAATACAAAAGATGCCATAACCACGCGCAAATATAAATTACGTATCAATTTACCAACGTCGTGTCACCAATGTTACGATCGTCATCATTGTCACCGTCTTCAACATCGTCAGCGTTATCTTATCTCTGTCACAAGCGTCACATGTATTGTACGATAACGTGTCAAACGGTTACATAGTTAGTATCCCCTGTGACAATATTTACAATCAAAGTGACATGCTGCTGGGCATGCGAT